TTATTGAATCAATTATATAATCTCACTTTTGTGTATTTATATTTACATTAGTTTTATTATGTGTAATTATTTATACATATTGGGCTTTCATAGGAAATAATCAAAGCAATCAAGAAAATACTTTATAAATTAAACATTACAACTCTTACAGCCTTAAATTCAAATAGATTATATCTCATCGCTGAGTGTTGCCAGTGAGAGACCTGAATCTTGTTAATCAGGGATTAAAAGACATCTTGAGGGATAATAGTTCTTACAGCTATAACCCTCATTATTTATTAATCAATTGTCATTAATGTCATTAACTAACTGGCCTTTCTAGGATTGCTCCAATGGTGATCAAAATGTGATGTTAATTGTTTATCAATCTCTATCCACTTCAGCCAGTCAATCTCAAGGATGATTCCAAACACTGACCAGAATTATCTGCACTCTATAAAGTTTAAACCCTACTGCATATCCGTGTTTGTATCCATTGGGGCTTTTATTGATTAGTTGTTTGGTCTATAACATGTTGATGAATGCTTGACATTATACGTCCTTAAATGTAGTTTGTCAACAACTCTAGTTTACTTTTAATAGAGTAAAAAAACATTAAATGTTCACATTTAGAATATTCATTTTTGTTTGAATTACTAAAACCAATACTACTACATATCAAAGCAAATACCATTTGATTTTATATAATAGGATTTATTTCTATACCATTTCATTTCAAGTCTAAAATGATTCCTTCCAGCAGCTTCATTTGCAGCATGCCGAGTAATTTCATATTTAACAACTAATCGAAGAAAGAAAATACAACCTCCCAACCCTTATCCAACTCATACTCTTTCTCGCACTCTTTCTCTCTCTCCCTCCCCCTCCCTCCCCCCCTCCATCCCTCCCCCTCTCGCATGTGCGCTGAAGTCGGAAGCGCTCCTCTGGTATTAGCCAGTGCGCACCACAGTATCGCTTCGCACCTCACCGTCCGGACTGTTACTGCTCCCGGAGCACCTGCAGGCGGAGGGAGCTACCAAAAAAAGGGGCAAAGAAGAAGTACGCAGGGGACATAAACAAGCGGAGGACGGAGTAGGGGCTGGACCGGCTGGGGGAGCGCACCATGGCCTCAAAGGACACAGCCACGGGCTTCGTGAACGTCAGCAGGGAGATCACAGGTGAGCACGAAAACACGAGTTTCTCTTCGGGAAAGTACGTTTGAACCTTTACTTAAGAAGCGAAGAAGACACGAATGACGTCTTTTAGGCCACATGGGGATAGTTTATCTTCCCTCAGATGCTTTTAAATCTGCTTTTCGCTGCGCTTGATAACAAAAAAAGGAGTTATTACTGCAGGAAATGCCTTCCAGGGCAAAACCAGAGTTAATGGCTGTTCGTGGAGCTTGTAATCCCATCGATCTCGGAGCGGCGGTGTTCACTTTGCGATTGATTTTGACGTAAAGATCCGCTGTGGAATGTATCTCACTCACGGGGGTCCTGCTAGTGCTGTCATGTAGAGTTATGTTCAAGTGTTGCCGTGCATGTGTTCGCGTCACGTAGCTTCATTAGGAGTTTCCATCTCTTTCTTTTCCCCCTGCATGCGCGTGGGAGTTATTGTGCGACCGGGAGCGATTTGCGTGCAGCATGGGTTCAGCTGCACACACTGAGCCTCTCTTGGACAACACGCGCGCGCACGCACACGCGCGCACACACACGCGCACACACATGTTTGGATGTTGTGGTGTTACAGAAGGTGTGTGTCCCTCACTGCTAATTATACAGACGTGAGTTAAATCCCGCTGTTTACCAGCTCAACCCTGGTCAAGCTCCGTCTGTCTGGCCTAGCTTTAAGCCATTATCACACTTGCCAGTGGAGGACAAGATGGGGAAGGGGGGTGGAGGTGTTAGTGAGCAGATCCATCAAAGTGTCAAGAAAGGAAGTGGGGATATGACAAGGAATTGATATGAAAGGGGTGGCTGTAGGGTCTTGGCTTGGGAACCAAAGGGTCGCTGGTTCAAGTCCCTGAAAGTATGTCCTCTGCTGTGTACATGTGTGTGACGAATAAAGAGGGTTTCATTCGAATCCTCCATTTCCATTATCTTCACCCCTTTGGGAGCAGATTGCAGGGTCACACCACCATACCTCGGGGGCACCTCAGAGTGTGTTAAAAGGGGTTTAAGTGATTGGGTCTTAGCCAGCTTAACGTCAATATCTCTCTGTGTGTCTTCCACTGATCCTTCCTTCGATCTGCCGGTGTGCTCTTTCCCCCCCCCCCCAATCCTCCCTGCATTGGCTCCTGCTCACTCAAGTGCCAGAGCCAAGTTCATGGCTGTTGCCGGATGTGGAAAAGTGAGAATCATGCAGCACTGTAAGAGAGCTGGGAGATAGTGACACAGCGCTGCATCTCCATCTGCTCCGCTTGTATTTAGCAGAGGGCCCCCCCCCCCCGCTCGTGAATATCCCACAGCTTGTGGGCATATGTGCGCTTTTGCAGGCCGGGGATATAAGTTGACATTGTGTCTGTGAATAGCAGGTTGTTTTGTCTCGGTTGTTGTGGAGGAGGTGCAGATGGTGCAGTTCAGTGAGCTTCAGCAGGGCCATGTGTCGGGGGGGGGGTGGTGGTGGTGTGGAGGCCCCTAAAGATTGCAGCTCTGTATCTTGTGGTCTGTTCCATTGAAATGAGCCGGGCTCCTGCTTTCTTTTCTCTCAGGCTAAAAATAGCCCAGTTATGAGTCTTCTTCAGCTGGAGCTTGTGCGTGTGTTTGTCCTCAAGTTTGTGTCTTTGTAGCTGTCTACTGGTCTCTGTGATTATTCAACCCTGAGCAGCTTTCATTGAAGGAACAATCCACCAGTGTGTCCCTAAACTCCGAGACAAAGCAGAAACAAGACAGCAGCGTCATTAGCGTCGACAACCACTGATTCATTTCCATAGGAGCAGATCCAAAAGGTGTTCAAAATCAAACGTTAACACTGCTTACTTTGCTACGGAAAGTGACTGTAATAGCACTTTGTGAAGATGCGTAACAAATGGTGAGAACATTTTTTTTCCATCGGCATACACTTCCAGAACGGCTTCAAAGCACCCTAGCATAGCTTGTTTTAAAGAGTAAATCCCCCAATGTAGCTTTGCACTGCCACAGCATTGTCAGACTCACGCTGGGCAGTAAATGCTTTTTGAACTAAAGGATACAACTGATGCAGCAAAACAGGAGAAATCTCTTTTTATATTCATATGGGTTACATTACCCACAGTGCAAATCAGCCTGTGATTGTTGGTTGAGTTTTTTAAATGTAATGTTAAATCGTAAATGTGTTTCTGTTAATGTGGGTAAGAAGCAGATTTTAATGGTTCTATTACGCGTAAGCTCCCATCTTTATCTCCATCCATCTAAACCTTTATTGTCTTCAGCAACTAAATATTCCTAAGAGATGGGTGACTGACTTGTTTTAACTGCAGTTAACAATTATTGTCTTAAGTCTCTTGATTACTGTTTGATTGTTTTGTTTATGACGTTTTTGAGATCCTTTACACTATCATATAAAGCAAGAAGCCAGCAAACCAGCCAATGTTTATATGTGAAAGGCTGATGCCAGTAACATTAGCTTTTTACTCAAATTATGAATTAGCTATTGAATAATTAATAATTAAAAATGTTCAATTAGCTGTTCATTACAAGGATTTATTTTCCATGTTGAACTTACCACATACATTTTTTATCTTAAGTTGTATCTGCTGCTGAAAACCATATATGAAATCTAACCATTCTTGGTGAATTGATTGAAGGTGGAGAGCCCTCTCTGACACTAAACACCCAAAATCTCCCAAAGGAGTTCCTTAGGGTTGTAATGTGGTGATTTGTAAAGGTTGTTTCATAGGCTTGATGTCATTTTAATACACATCAAACCATTCAATGCCCCCTCATACCCTATATGGGAGCATCTGCATTCATATTCCTTCTCTTTGAACAGCAGTTACTAACTTCCTGTTATACTTAAGTGGTATTATGTCCTCATGCGACCTTACACGGAGGAATTAACTAAGTGGATACATACCGTGAGATATTATTAGAGAGCCCTTTTATTGGATTGGTAATGTCTAATTTCCTTCCAGGCACTTGGTGTTTGACAGTAACGTAGGAACCGTAGTATTTTGTTGTACCTTCAGGGCTCAAACTACTGTTGCCTGGGGACGGTAGAAAATGTGTTTGAGGAAGAATATAGCTACATTGTGAACAAATGGACAAGAGGAAAGCTAATTGACGTTAGCTTTTAGCAGTGAGCAACACAGTCCTGTTTGGCTAGAAAAACTGAGCTAACCGCTAACGGTACCGGAGAATTTCCCCAGCAACATAAAATAATGCCCATTATTACTTGTTTAACTTCCTAAAACAAAATCCAGTATGCAAATGGTAATAATGGATTGTATGTTGGAAGAACACATGATTTATTGTTTCAGCTACATTTTTGGTATTGCGCACACATTTTCCTAGTTAGTTTATGTTCTCAATCACTGGTTTCAAAAGCAGGGTATGATTTATGGCGTGGCTCCCTTGTGATTGGCAAGTTGCTAACATGTTTTAGGTGGTGTCGTGTTTTATTTTCATTTGCATCTTTATTTCAAACGGATAAAAAAAAAAAATGTTAAACAGAATTGGTACAGCACAGTATTTTTATTTTATTTTTATAAATTGTCAAACAATATTTATATATTAAAAAATATTTATATATTTAAAATATATATATTTAACAAAATAATAATAATTATAATAGTGTTTGAAAAGGAGCAGGAGGAAGAAAATGCTTATCAATTCCCACCCCTTACTCAACTGCTGATGGTCTGTTCAATCATTTCGGCTATCATATTAAAAAAAAAAAAAGATTACATTTATAATGATTTCTCATCTTAGATCACCTATCACTATATCTTTCCATCAAAGTGTTTTTGTACATCCTTTTAAAGTTATTTATGTTTATGCTTTGTTAGAACTTGCAATGTATTTTGAGTTCATGAAAGTTCACTGTAACATCTTGGTAACCTACATGTCTTTCTCCACCCTATCATTTCACTTCTGGTTCCCACAAAACCATAATGGCGACGGCAAAAAACCAAGATGGCGCCGGTGATGATGGCTGCCGTGTCTTTGGCTCCTGTCCAACTCTGCGTTTTTTTCGTATTATTTCAGTGTATGTTTACTTTTCGTCGTGTGCTTTTATATCATATTCCAATTACTTGTATAAAGACTCTCCTTGCACTATTTCTATTCTATTTTAATTGTATTTACTTGCTCTATTTTATCTGTTTTATTGTGTTGCACTGTTGGGTATGTCATTGACATATCTACACTGTAGCTATGTACAAATGACAATAAAAGCCTTGAATCTTGAGCTAAAAATGCAAAACTTCAGGCTTCAAATCCCTAACACAAAGACCACTGGGTAACACCCACCTCTTTTACTGTATACGGTCTTTGGTTAACAAATCATAATTAGCATCATCAGGACATCAAAGATACATTCTATTATTGCTAACTCCTTTTATTCATGTTTTTTCCTCTCATATGTCACCCAGCTGCATATTCAAGTGTATTGTATTTCCATCGTTCTACAGTTTTGTGCATTACAGGGCAGCACATCTCATTCTGTAATGGATTTACATTATGTAACCTGCTCCCCTCTGCTCATTTCTCCAGAGGGCATCAGGAAGGTGCTGGACAAGCAGGCCATTAAGTTTGTGCGAGCCATCAAGCAGGACACCCGGAGCGGCAAGACAGAGGACAGGATTCTGGTGAGAGACGCCAACACCCTCACACCCAACACCCCCCACCCCTCTTCTCTTAGACCAGGTCACCTGAAAGATGTCATTGTTAAAGCAACGGCACCTTTCCGTTGCGTTCGGTGTTGAATATGGAACAGAAACGGCTCCTTGCAGACAAAACGGAAATCAATGGCAGTTAATTGCGACAAATTGAAAGAGCCATAAGAAGTCACAGATTATGCATCCCGGGACACAACAGACGTACGGAAAATCGGGCTTAAGACAGATGCTGCCTAAGCAGAGCGAAGTGGACATGGCCTACTGAGTCCATCCTGAGAGTTTATTAGATGTGGCAGCATGGCCTTAATGCCACGGGCCAGACTTTGGGTTGTGTGTGTGTGTGCGCGCCTGACATGGTGTTCTTGCAGGGACATTATTTATTGTTTTATTTGAAGAAGGAGCTTATATACCAGAGGGTGTGTGGGCAGCATGTGATGTGTTCAAGGAGCTTGTGCGAGCCAAGGCCACCTCTGTTATTGAGGAATCAGTTAGTCAGCTACATTAGTGACTGATCAGTTACTCACACACGGTTGCTATGTGCGACATTTAGCTCATTTAGCCCTCTGAAGACAACGAAAAAGCATCTGATAAGTGGATAAAACAATCGGTACTTCTCCGTCTGTGCTGTTGTGTCCTCTCCCCATCTCCCCCACCACGCCTTCATCTATCTCCATCATTACCGCACCCCCCCTCTATTTTTGTCATCTCCTCTCTTTGTTTCCTCTCTCCCTCCCTCCTTATCTGTCCATCTCGATTATCCTCCTCCTCCTCATCACCCCCCACCCTCTCACTTTCTCTCCGTCTCTACCCTTCGTGCCCTTTCCTCTTCCCTCCATCTCTACTCAGACCCGTAAAAGGGTATCTAGCTCCTCTTTCCATCAGAAGCAATTCAATTAGGTCTCTGCCTTACGAGAGTTTTTTACTATCCAAATGGGCCTTAGCCGCTCAGGCCGCTGCACCGAATTCTTTCAAGGGAAGGGGGGCGAAGAAGGAGGAGGGGGGTGGATATGAGAAGTCATATTGGCTCGTTGTCAAGATCTCCCCCTCTAAAAGGCAATCTTTTCACTCTAATGGATACATTTGTTTGTATATATGAAGGAGGAACAGGCAGGGGAGTTTGTAAATAGTTTGTTTCGGTCTCTGGATTTCATGCACTAATGTTCTGTCATGCATGAAAATGTCCTACATGGTAGTTGGAGTAAGAGGAGTATTTTAGATGGCTTTCTAATAAGCAGTTGAGAGGTGAAAATAATGTTTCTGAGCCAAAAAAAAACGTTTTATCTTCCCTTTCATGTGGTTCCCAGCGTCACGCTTGGAGTACACTTTGCAGGTTCAATCTGAGCAATGTCATAGCTTCCATCCCGATTCCTCTGCTGTGTGTGTTTTGTGGACTGTAGGAGTTTTTAATGTGGTACATCAAGTTAATACTGACGTGTCTTTGTTCTACATCTTGCTCTTTCCTTTTGCCTCCTTTCCCCTCTGGAAGTGGCTGGTGTCCAGCTGTCTGTGTGTGTTGACTGTACCAGCCATCATGCTGACACACATACTCGTGCACGCCCACACGCGGGGTTCCCGCACCCATCTCAGACAGACGTAGCGGGGACTCAGCTTGACATCCAAATGGCACCCAGGGCAATGCATGTGGGAGCATCAATATTCATGTCTTCATCACGGGGCACACACACACACACACACACACACACACACACACACACACACACACACACGTGTGTGTACAGTTTGACAATAGCAGGAGGCATCACGAACATGGTGCACTGAAAAGTTGCCTGCATACAAACTCTTACGGCCATTATTAGATCACTCTGTTTGAAGATTGGAGGCAAGTTGGAAAACAAAGCATCTTCAAAGGCAAAAAGACAGGGAGGGACATCGGGGGGGGGTGGGGAGTGTTTGTGATGGAAGAGGAGGGGAGGGCACCCCACAAGAGAAATGGAGGAAGGCGTGAGAGGAGGGGGGGGATGGACTCTTGGATGTGTTGTGATGCCCCAGTTGCCCATTTGGCTCTTCCGCCACTTATTTATCCCGATTGTTCGCTCCGTTTCATCCTCCGTTGACTCCGGTCGGTTCCACCTAATAATGGGCCTATTACTGGCTGAGATTGCGCCTCTTTGACAGTCCCGAGCATACTCGGGCGCTTCACACGCTCATTTCCTTCTTAGGTTACGCAGAGGTCCCGCTCAAAAGACTCTGGTCGGTTTGAGGTTGTGTTCGTGCAGCAGCGTCTTAAGACTGGGTTGTGGTTGTATTTCTTTCTTGGTTGTTATGAAAGTTGGTACAAGAAATACATCACTTTATATGTACAATTCACTTTGGGAAGTTGCCTTATTCGACACATAAAACATTATATAATGAAGCTATTCATTAGAAAATCATAGCAAATAATGATTCTTTGTTGGTTTTTGAATTCTCTATATTAAGAATTTCAACATGTAATTTCTTTCTAATAAATACATATATATATATATATATATATATATATATATATACATACATACATAATGTAAATAATTATAAATAATACATACAAATAAATATAAAATGTATATTTAGTTATGTACCTCCAACAAATGCTTGAACAACAAATAAAAAATGTAGTAATAATTTACAACAATTTGGAAGATTGATCCCCTTTTTTGTGTTTTTTCCTTACAAACCACTGCTGACTTGTTTTGTTCTATATCTGCCGTATAATACATCTTTTAGGATCAATATTCTTTATGATTAATTGTGTCTGTTAAACGTGTCCACCTGTATTTAACCGGTTGGCTGAAAATTATTCGGAAAACTTTATAATCCCAAAACACTATTCTATTTGCTTTTTGTAAAACCATCCAATATACATCTCTATGGAACATGCACAGTATTTATTCAATTCATACTAGTCCTCAGACTTTTTTGGAAGCTTAATTGAGTTTTTTCTTGCATACTTTAAAACCAGTGCTCGAAACGTTCCCCTCATTACTTGCAAGGTATCACAGCTCAAAATGTGCGTAACTAAATTAAACAAAAGCTAATGTAATGCTCTCTGGACTTTGTACCATACATCTTAATGGATTGATATTCCATTGCTCTTACATTATGATATCATTCCATGACATCTACTCAGTAAATTACAAACGAGGCATCCGTCTTGTGTTGCTTTTTAAATAGAATGATTTAAAATTTGGATTGAGAGTCTATCAAATTGACAGCGTTGAAGCCCCCCTGAGATAAACTTGTTTTTGTGCTAAATATTATAAATAAATTCAACCTGAATTTAACCATTGCCAAATGCAGATTCATGGACAGGCCAACTGAGCCATTCGGGACTAAATAAATATTAAAACATAAAAGTAGTATGAAGCTTATTGGTGCTGCTTCATGTTTGTAGTCAAAATTGAGCATCAACAACTTCCTTTGAGATTTCTCCCTTCCCGGAACTCAACCGTAAGAATCTCGTTGTCCTTAACTGAATTATTTTCTAATTTTGCTGCTTAAAAACAACAACTTTCTGCCCTAATTTTTTTAATGATTGACTTGAATCACGCTTTGGAATTGTTTAATTCCCTCTGTTCAACAGATCCTCCCAGACCCCGAGTTGAGTAATGGTAAAAACAAGTTCATATTGTCAGGATTCTCATCTTGGACCAGTGGCATTTAAAAAAAAAAGGCAATTTTACAGAACAAGGTTAGTTACTCAGCATAAGGTGTACCACTCAGCCGGTTAAAAAACATCTGTCTTCTGTTGATAAAAGTACAAACATAGGAGAACAAGTAGGCTAAACAATCATCATTTAAATGGTAATGTCAGTAAATAGGATATATACGAGACAAATAGGCCGATCAACTGCCATCCTTCAAATTGGTGCATCTCTAGCAGTCTAGATGCCGTCAAGGATAGTTTAGAGGGGCTCATTGTGCTTTTTGGGGTTTTCCCTTTCCTGTAGTTGTGTGTTATATATGTTTTTTGTGCATGTTAATGGTCTGCTAAGGCTAAAATCCCAAAGTTCTCTCCCCCTCTGCTTGGAATACCTAGATCAGACTCCTTTCCTACTTCTGTAACATGATGACATCACTATGTAACACTTGCTCTTCTATTGGCTAGAGATCCAACACATTGTACTTGATAGACTAATTATATGTGGTTGACCAGTCCCAACTGTTTTGGCCAGCTAACCAATCAGAGTAGACTGGGCTCTGGTTTCAGACAGAGGGTGAAAAGAGGTGCTGCAGCACAGGCAGTGTGAGTAAAATGAAGCATGTTATGAACATTAAAGTATGTAAACATGACACAGTAAAAGCATAAAATATGAAAGTGAAAATGAGCATATGTCCGCTTTAAGTGATCTCTTTGAATTAAAGCGTTTTTAAATCTGAAGACGTGTCATCAAATCTTTGCTCCTCTATGTAAAAGAACACCAGGTAGCCTTTTTTCTAAGGAAACGTTATCTCAAAGAGAGTTAATTATGAAGCACCTGCTATAGCTTTCAACTGATACGGAATAATAACCTGTGCTATCTTGTCTTTTTATATTGGATTCTCTCTCTCTCTCTCTCTCTCTCTCTCTCTCTCTCTCTCTCTCTCTCTCTCTCTCTCTCTCTCTCTCTCTCTCTCTCTCTCTCTAATTGGTATGACTCAGGGTGCGTTTCACTTCACTTATTTTTCATTTCCTCGCTCCTCGGTCTCTGTATCACCGGAAGTTGATTTGTCTGCGCCATCTTGAGTAGCGTCCCAGTGGCCTTATTTGTGCCGGAGGATCGAGGAGCGATAACGGAGGAGCAACAATCGAGGAACTACCAGACCATCCTCCGGTGAAATCCTCAGACACTTGCCCCGCCCCCTTACTGATCTGGCTGCTGTCAGACGATCAGCTGTGTGGCGTCATCACAAACGGACGTCGCTTCACGTGACGCTCTGGAGGAAACGACGTCCCATTGCTCTTAAAACTAATTTCCCTGCTTCTCGTGGTT